AAGAGAAAATTGTCGGGCACGCAAAGTTAGTCGAAACATAAATAAAAGCTACCCAAATACACAATGTGGTCTTCACTCTCGAGGATCTCCTTGACACCTATCTGACTCAGTTCATACACCATATATTCGTCCTTATCAGTGACTGTTTTCCCTCCTCTTCCCGCGCGCTGAACATAGGGGATTCCCGCTACGAGAGCAGCTAGACATCGAAGCTCGCTTGATCCTCAGGACCGAGCTGTTTCTTCTTCCAAACATAAGTTTTAGTTCCCCTCTAAAAATTCCTCCTAGAACATTGGAAATGGTACTTGGGCACCAGATTATTTAGATGCTCCCCCGCCTCGTTCCGAACAAGGGCTTTATCCTCGTCGAACACATGGGCAACCCTGTAGATATTCAGTAGTGCTCTCTGAGAGACGGGCTGAATGAGCATATATTTGTCCTTAAAGAAACAGACATATTCCAAATAAGCCTTGAACAACTTCCCATTTTCTTACTTCAAAGTAACCCATCCATACTACTCGTTGTACATGCTCCTCTAAAGATGGAAATCTTAGAAGAACAGAAGAACAGTGGCCCCGATTTGCAGATAATTACAAATGATCTCAAAGGCCCGCATAAAAGCGAACGAATTCAAATGCAACTGAGAGGCGGAAAGTATGAGTTTCCAGAAAATTGCTACTTCAAAGTCTGAAAAAGGGAGTCGAAAGCCCATCTCCCTGAACATAATGTAATACATGGGGATCCGCTGAGTATTGTATTTCGAGCATATCTGGCTACTCTCCCCAAGAATCCATATCGACCATTCCTCCTCATCCCCTTCATGATCCATCGTCGGGTCCACCATTGTAAAAACATTCTCTGAATGATCGATGAAATAAGAGGCATGCTCCCACGGGCCCGACGCAACCCATTCCAACGGGTCCTCCTCGACCACTAGCGCGCTTGGACCATTTTGGTCCGCCAGGACCATCTCATCATCCTCCCTGTCGACCTGTTGACTAGGAGACCCTGGCTCCTCGGACGCTCTCGAAGTGCTCACCTCGCTGAGAGTGTCTTCGGTGGAACTCTGAGCAGATCCGCTAGGCTCACTCGGAAATTCGTCTTCAACACTAGCGGCCATCGTACATGAAAAGCAGAGGACAGAAGTGAGTTTAACACTGAAGTCAAATCCACCTTCCGCTGCTAATCAAGTGAAAGACACTGAGGAATGAAGACCTTGTCCTCGATCAAAGCCCTCTCTTAGGCGATAGCTAAGCGATCGCCACATTTCCCTAACCTACTGAGGTGAAATCACCTAAAATACAGGCAGGAAGACGATGAAGGCGAGGCGCAAGAACCATCTACGACTTATTAAGAACTGTCACAGTTGCAGGTTCCCCAGGGAGAATGCACGACGTAGCCGGAAATCTCTCCCGGTGAAACCACCGTCTACCACCAATATTTTGCAAGATTCTTCAATTGATAGGTTACCCTAAATCCTAAATCGCATGCATTTCTAAGGAAAACTTCGAAATTTAAAGCTATAACGGGGATTAAATCTACAAGAACATAAGGAACTAGTAAACTTACCAAGATCAAAAAAGGAGAATGAAGGAGTGAACGGTGGCAGGCAGCAAAACTAGCAAAAACTTTAGAGGTTGACGAGTCGAGCAGTAACGAGCAGGAGATCAGCAGAGTGAAAAAATGCAAAGTCTGCTTCTTCTCCCATATTTATAGACGATTTCACCCACACATGAGTGAGAACGCGCCTAGGAAACACTAAAGGACGTCATCATTACGCCCTAGCACCTAGGCCAGCCATCATCACGTCTATCTGATAGCACGCGGCTTGATGCATGTGAAGCACGTAACCTTTCCAGATTCCTTTCCCCGATAACCAAACATTGGGCAAATTTCTAAACTCCTCGCACAAAATTTCCCCTCGAGACATAACAACTTCTCAAAACCGCTCAACTATTCCTCTCCCTGCAAGACGAATACGACGAGCATCACCCGTACTCCTCGTACGAAATCAATCAAGGAGCACCCCCGTTTAGCGAGTTGGTTCTAAGTCATCACTCATGTGCTTAGGAGCAACGAGTTGAGGGGCTCCTGTTTTGTACTGACCCAATGACTAGAATTGGTCCAATTCGCTTCTGCCCTTGGAACGACCCAATGACAGCGGCCCAACACTCTGGTCGAACACAACGCTTGTCATTAACCAATTATGCCCAACATACACGCCTGACCAAATCAGCGAATGTCTCCCGTCAACCCGACATGAGTCGGGCAGATACCCTGCAAACGACCAAAACGGCCATCTGCCCATAATCCTCCCCCTCAGAATAAATTGCTACTTACGAGCATACCTGCCCATTTTGAACCAGTCTTGGCAGTTTCCTATTTTTGCAGACCCGCATATCTAGGCCAAAAAAATAGGAACCAATGGATACACACCGGGGAAATATTATATAAACCCTCACACATGTGAGGGCCAGGTATTCAATATCAAATATCCAATATTCATCTCTGAAATCTTAATACTTTGTTTGTATCTCTTTGCTCCCACACTTACCTAATCGTAGGAGTGTCTTACAGGTACAACTCCCTATTTTCTCAACTTTCTAGTCCATCAAAGGTCATCCTCCGGTCAGCTTGCAGGTTCTTATCAATCAGTAAGATAATATATATATATATATATATATATATATATATATATATATATATATATATATATATATATATATATATATATATATATATATATATATATATATATATATATATATATATATATATATATATATATATATATATATATATAAATTAAAAATCATTTATAATAAAGAAATTGACCTCCCTTTAAGGTTGTAGTTTGCTCTTGATAAATTTCCTTCGCAACTCAATATACGTAAAAGAGGGTGTCATGTCTGATCCGACTATGATGTCCTGTGTTACACAATTTTAGAAAAAATACCAGTATTGAGTAAGGATAGTAAAACCATCGTATACGTGGATATCGCGAGTAAAATCCATCGCAAGCACGGGATAACTTAATGAAGATTTATGGGTATAATAAACATATATTTAACTACATATTTTATGCCGAGTACATATACAAATTGATGGCACCCGTATTCGCGGGTATCTGTATCCATTAATAAGTAGCAAAATTACTTAAATATTAATTTGATTAATTTAAATTTTTTTAAATTATTTTATTAAATATGAAATTATTATTATTATTATTATTATTATTATTATTATTATTATTATTTTGTGGAATTTAGTATAATTATTGATAAAATAGAAATAAAATAAATGGAACTTATTTTTGTTATTATTATTATAATTAAATTTGAAACTATTATTGTATCTTTAAAAGGATTTACATTTTTTAATTAATTATACCTTTTTTTTTAATATTTAAATAACAGTATTCATAGATATTCGTCTATATCTGCAAGTATATAAAATTTCATGTACACTCGTTAGAGGATACTTGTACGGGTATGTGGCACATACATATATCATATTTTCTAAACAGAACAGATAGTAAGAGACTAATACCCGTATCCATGGATACTCATTATCATCCCTAATATTAAATACGTACTTGGTAAGTACACATATGATATGTATCAAGTCCGGACTATTTCTTTCTTTTTGGATCAAGAAAATTTTAGATTTTTTTAGTTGATCAAACTTATATTTTTTAATTTATTTGTAAAAATAGAGGTAAAAAATAGATTTTATATAGTTTTGTACTCTTGTTTGTTGTTCCATTGCTCAGAAACTTTTAGTTTTAACCTTTGACTTTATGAATTATTAACACGATATTTTATGTTATTAAACAGATAATTATCCTTAATTTAAATATATATATATATATATATATATATATATATATATATATATATATATATATATATATATATATATATATATATATATATATATATATATATATATATATATATATATATATCTTAATTTTTATGAAAGTTGTATTTTTATATTTGTACCCCTTCCGAGTGTCATATACGTACCTAACCAAAGCAACATAGGTTGTGGTAAAGGATATTTAGGTACATATATTTGTCTTATGTTCTTCTTAATAATCTCACCGTGTCTTTTTGAGGAGTATTTATTCATAGTGGCTCTAAAAATTTGAGAGGTAAGCTCTTTAAGGGATGACTTGTAGTTATTGATATATTTGAACGTCGTGGAATGATTTGATTTTTACAAGTACTCTCAGAAACGTGAATAACATGAATGATTTCTGTATCGCTCTAGCCTAAAAATGATATTTTGAGAAGTCTTCAAACAAGTCTTGCTCTTTCATTATTTGACTGACAAATTCTAAACTAGTGTATGAAGTAATAGCTACTTGAGTGCTTCGTCCTACCTCCTACACCTTATAGAGCCTTTGATCCTCTTTAAATTGATTCTATTTCTAATATTGATAGTTTTAAATACTGTTGAATGCCATTATCAAACCATGTTTTTCTTTTTTGACTCTTCTCTCCCAAAATTTTCTTATTATGTTGAGTTGTTAGGAGTGTAAATTTTTGACTAATTACGTGTTTATTGTTTTTTTGTATGGCTATATTATTTCATTTGGTTGCTTTGATTTTGCAAGGTACTCCTCGTGGTTTTTGCTCTTCCATGTATTTCTTTTTGACTTTTGTATTTACTCCTCTCTTAATGGTGTTTCCGTGATATATATATACATATATATATATATATATATATATATATATATATATATATATATATATATATATATATATATATATATATATATATATATATATATATATATATATATATATAAAAGAAACATAAAAATTAATATTTTATAAAATTTTATAAATCTAGTTTATATCTTGTGTATGAAATAACTTCTGTTTAATTTAAAAAAAGGTATTATTATCTATCATTTTATTATAAAATATATAGGAATACAAAAGATAATGAACCATCATCTCACATCTCAAAGAGATATTTCTAAATTTTTTTTAACAAGGTTTAGTGCAAAAACATTTATGACGCAAGTCATCACATTTTCCTCCGGAGAAACCCTCAGTTTTGCATGCACTAATACAGTTGGTGTCACTAAGACATAATCCGATGAATTTTTGACTTAGTGACTTACAATCTCTTGCCTCTGTCACAATACTTGGGCCCATCTCTGTCCATTTCACAAAAATCAATAACACAAGTTAATTAATATTATTTTCATAAAAATAACTAAATAATAAAAATCAAATCACACTATAATTTAGATTTTTCGAAATCAAAATAAATATATAGAAAATAAAATACTATTAATATTTTAAAAATTAATAGTTAATTGAGATTTTAAAAAAATGATAATAATAATTAATTAATCAAAAAGAAATTATACTCACCAGTGGTAACAACAAGAAGGAAGACAAAGATTGTGGAAACCAAAGGCAACACACGAGCCATGTAAAAGATTTAGATTGAAAGAGAAAAATGTGTTATAGTTGAACTTTGTTGAAGTGAAATGAAAAGTGGAGTATTGTGTCTTAAATAGAGGAAAATATTATTTTATTTACTGTTAAATAAATAAGAGGGTCATGAAGGTCTTTTTGCCATGGAATGAATAATTTTCTGAATTACATTTAATATATATATGATTTTAAAAAATATATATATTTAATCTTAGAAAAAGAAGAAAAATTTAATAAGTTATATTTAGGACATTTCTAGAACATTATATTTTTTTAATATTCAATTTCGTAAAATCCATGTGACTCTCATCATATTAAAAATAAATTCACATTAGACTTTTACTATCATGAATTTGATACACATAGAATGTAAAACATGATAAAATAATGAAGAAAAAAAATACTATTTAATTATATAATCTTTTCTTCGTCTTAAAATATAAGAGAGAAAAAAATTATTTTAAAATTTAAGAAAATAATTTCTTTTAAGATAAAAATTAAATATAAATTGTATTTAATTTAATTTCTCTCGTCATTTCTGTAACCAACAACGATTAAAATTGTTGTTACATCTTTTTAAGCAGTTTATTTTAAAAAAATTATAAATCAAATAATTATGTTTTTATTTATTTTAATAAGTATGACTTTTATTTTTTCTCTTATACTTTAGAATAAAAGAAGTATTTTTTATACACATTTCGGTATAATTTATATTTTTTATCATTAAAGTCTTAAAAAAAGTATACACGATAATTTATCACATTTTATAAGTGATAGATTTTTAAAAAAAGGACATCATCAATTTTTAGTTCAAAAATATAAAAGAGAGACCAAAATTATTTGAATTTAAAAGACAGAACTATAATTATGTGAATGGAGTATATAGAGGGATCGAGAATGTAATTACATCTAAATTTGAATAGGATCCGCGTGATGCACATGTGTATGTTTATTTGTTTTTCTATTGAAATTTTAATTATAGTTGATATATTTTATTTAGATAAATATAATTAGTCAATTTATATTTATCATATTTTATTTCAAACTACATGTTCAAGATAATCAAGTAAATATAAATATGTTGAATTTTTGAAAAATAAATTTCTTCAATTTTTTATCCGCATAATTTCAAATACATTTAATTTATGTGATTTATATGTAATGCTATTGAAATAATTTATTAGAATTTTTTTGGAAATATATGCATAAGGGTATACAAGATTTATGCCGAATCCAATAACATGAAATATATATCATATTTATTGAGATGATTTGAGAGTACACATGTTAAAATATTATATATGATGATATTATACCAAAAACTAATTCTTAAATTTTATAATTATAGTTAATAATAGTATAAGTTTATGATATGAAATTAAATAAAGAATGAGACGAAACAATTTTAAATTGTATAATTATTATAAAGAAATATGACAAACTTTTAAAATTTTATTTATTTCATAATATATGTTTTTAAAAATTTAAAAAAAGGCATTATATATATAATGTATATTTTAGAAAGAAATTTAAATTAAAAAATGAAATTATTTATACAGAGTTTTATAAATTTAACTCTATTGTGGTCGTATTAAGAATATGTGATTATATTATGATGAAATATTTGATTTTATATTTGTTATTAGAAATAAGTATACTTAATTATATATAAATTATTTTATCTTTTATATATATTTAGTTTATTGGTAATGTTGATAGTGTCAAAATTAAGACATTTATTATTGATATTATTAAATTTTATAACAGTCTTGTATTTAATACTTTTACAAAATAATTCTAAAATAATTTTGCCATATTTCAATTATTTTTATTTCATATTAAAATGAATTAATTATCCAATTAATATATTTTTTAATATAAAATACATTTGATATTGCTTAAAATCCCAATTTATTACATGAGCATTAACTTACTTATATAACAAGTAAAGAGTAACTAAGTATTAACCATATAATTACCAACTTACAGTTAGTTATTTTCTGTTTGTATTCTACTCTTTGTCTTAGCTGGATTCTCCTCTACCTTATCATCATTAACAGTAATATTTTATTTTTTAATCAATTAAAACAATTCAATTGATAATTATGCAATTTAAATACATAGATTTGAATCAGCGATATTTTATTTATTTATTTTTAAAAGATTAATTTCAGCATAAAAGTATTTGACCAAAAAAAAAAAGGTTTGGTTATTTAACCTTATCATATATTTGAATTGGTGTTCATTAGGGGTGTTCAAAACCAAACCGGTCCAATAGAAAATCACAAAATCGAACCAAATCAAACCAAAACTGCAAAAAACCGCATTTGGTTCGGATGTGTTTGGGTCATTTTCTAATGGAACTGCGTGGTTTGGTTTAGTTTGCGGTTTGTATTTTGTAAACCGAATCAAACCGTATTATGTTATTAAATCTTATTAACCAATATATTTCTTTAATTCTTTAGAAAAATCAACATGTATTATGTGTATATTTTATCATATTCTTTGTATGATATGTATTTTAATTTACAAATCATAAAAATGAAATATTATTCATTTATAAATACTATTCTCATAAAATATATTTTATCATATTATTTGTATAATATTTATTTAAGAATGCAATCTTATGTATATCATTCTTTATATTTAGATAAAATTATAATATGCAATTTTATGTAACAAATTATAAATTTATTTTGACAATTAGAAATTTTTTTATGGTAATGTATGAATGATTAAACACAAAATTATATTTTTCTCTATATGTATATGTATGGCTAAATAATTTTTTTGTAAAAAACCGCATCAACCGAACCAATCCAAACTGCATTAGTTTGGTTTGGTTTGGTTTGATTTTATTTTTAAAATCCAACCAAACCAAACCGAACCACACATTTTTTTCTCTTGCGGTTCGGATGATTTTTTGCTTTAAAACCGTCCAAACCGCACCGCGAACACCCCTCCGATGATCATATATAAGAGGAAGAAATAAAAACCATCTTGACCAATGAGACTCATTAAATGTGATAGTTTTATTTTCTTATTAAAATACCTTGGATTATAAATGTCTTCACGTCCACTAATATGAGCATTAATTTAACTTCTAGTATAAGTAAAATGATACAAAAGTCATTTAAAAATAAATAAACCTTAATTTACAATTATTTCTCTTATTTTAGATTAAAAAAATCAAACAAAAACATACCACCAATTGAGATGACTACTCTATATAATATTTCTTAATTCATTAAATATATATCATAATCATAAAATATAATATTAATTAAAAGTTACTTATAATAAAAAAATTGACCTCTCTTTAAAATTGTAATTTATTCTTGATAAATTTTCTTCACAATTCAATATACGTAAAAGAGAGTGTTATGTCTGACACGACTATGATGTCTTGTGCGATACAATTTTAAAAAAAATAACATAATTGAGTTAGGATTGCAAAAAAATCGTATGGTTAGGTATCGCGAGTAAAATCCATTACAAGTATTGGATAACTTAATGGATATCTATGGATAAAATAAACAGATATTTAACTACTTATTTTCTGTCGAGTACATATACAAATTTAATGGTACACGGTATCCGTATCCGTTAATAACTAGCCAAATTACTTAAATATTAATTTGTTAAATCTAATTTTTTTTTATTTTATTAAATATGAAATTATTATTATTATTATTATTTTGTTGAATTTAGTTTAATTTTTGATAAAAAAAAAGAAATAAAATAAATTTGATTTATTTTTCTTATTATTAATATAATTAAATTTGAAACTATTTTCATATTTTTAAAAGGATTTAAAAAAATTAATTAATCATGTTTTTTTTAAAATATTTAAATAACAATATCATGTACACCCGTCTACAGGATACTTGTACGGGTATGAGGCGCATACAAATATCATATTTTCTCTTCTAGACTGGCCTAATAGTTAGAATTGACCCGATCCGCTTCTACCTTCAACATGACTCAACCATTTTGGCCCACTAACTTTGGCCTTTCAATCGAACATATCCGCTCTACACTCGAGGAATAGACAACTAGGAAACTCCCATAATGCGTCTTCCCGTAATCTCCTCCTTGCTCGGAGAAATGGCTAGTTACGAGCATGACTGCTCGTTTTGACCAATTCATGGCAGTTATCAATTTTTGAGGAACCTAATATCTAGGCCTTAAAATAGAACCCAATGGCCAAGCACCGAGGGCACTATATAAATCCTCACACTTGTGAGGGTCAGGTATCTAATATTCATTCTAGAAACCCTAATATCTTTCTTGTATCTCTTTGAACTCTTTCTTACTTGAGCGTCAGAGTGCCTTACAGGTGCACCCCCTCCTCTTCACTAATTCCATCGTAGAAGACGTCATCTATCGGCACACTTTAGATTCTGATCGACTATCGAGATCAGTGGCGCCTTATGTGGGAACTTCGTTCTCCCCGTCTTTCTTTCCTCGAAACTAATTATCAGCGACATTCAAAGATTTCTATCATGGTCGATCATGATGACATCTACCTTTCTGGAAAAATAGTGCTTTCCCCTGTCTGCAAGCCAGACGATGAAGGAAAGTTGCCTCTCCTTATGGATATCCCCGTGAAAAGAGACAGCCTAACTGCGTCTCCCTCCCTAGTTGAAGCTGGCGATGACATCCAATTCTTGGAGAATCAGAAATCTAAGAAACCCACTGAGGAGCTCTCAGTAATCCTCCAACCGATTCTGATTCTGACCAACGTCGATCCGGCCATGGCAACTCTGTTTGTTTCCCTTAATCAGACCAATGCTATGATCCTGCAACAAAGTAGCAGGATTAGAGCTTGGGAGAAAAAGCACCATTCAAGATCTCCTCCTCGGAGACATTGATGACACGATTCACGCAGTCCATCACCATCAAAGTGTGGCCTCCGTCCCATGCACAAGAAACCAAAACTTTCGTTTATAAAGAAACAGGACCACACTCCTCCCTAGAGAGATCAACGCT